CACGTGAGTGTGCGAGTGTGTGAGTGTGCGAGGGCCTGGGCCAGAGAAGGTGCTCGCTCAATGCTTCTGGGATGAATGAACTCTGGAGCCCTTGACCTTGGCAAGTCACAAAAGGATGATCAGCCCGGCCGGCGTGGCTCAGTGGTTGAGCGTTGACCTATGAACCAGGAGGTCACGGTTCAATTCCCAATCAGGGTGCATGCCCAGGTTGTGGGCTCGATCCCCAATAGGGGGAATGCAGGAGGCAGCCGATCCATGATTCTCTCTCATCATGGATGTTTCTATCTCTCTCTCCCTCTCCTTCCTCTCTGAAGTCAATAAATTATTTTTAAAAATAAGAAGAATCAGTAGCATGTGCGGGCACAGGGGCTCCCAGCAGGAGCTGTGGGTGAAGAGAAGGCATGGTGGTGGGTGGAGAGGACAGAGGGGAAGAGGGAGACAAGCTTGGCCGGGTGTGGGGGGGCAGGAGTGGGGAGCCCAGGCCACCGTGGCCCCTAAGCCAAGAAACGCCGTGGCTCTGGTGTCCCCTGTCCCTGAGGAACGGGAGTGGGCCAGTGTCTCTGTTTTCATGACATGGTTCGTGATGTTAAATAATTTTTACTGAATAGCCTATGAATTTTCATATGTATTAACCTGCTCTCTGACAATAAGAACTTGAGTAGATTTTTAAAATTTCCTGCCAACATTGTATTTTGGTTGGTGTTCCCAAGCAGAACCTACAGCGGCTCCAGCTCACGTCTGGGCCCACAGCCTGTCCTCCTCGGAAATTGAGGTGTCCTGGAGTGCCATCCCATGGAAGCTGAGCAGTGGCCATCTCCTCGGCTACGAGGTACTTGCTCTCTGAAGCGCGGTCTGGAGGTTGCCACACCCCTCGCTCCGTCCCTGTCCGTCTTTTTAACAGTGACGTCCTAGGTGACGTCTGGCTTTCACTGGCATTTCACCAGCACGTGGTCCCATGTGAATATCCAGGGATGTTGAAATGAACTCAACAAGTTGAATGAAAATAACGTTAGTTGGGGTAGAAAAGGAAAAAAATAGCCATCGAAAAGGAACTGGATCCCCTGGGCACGGTTTTTAGAAGGCTTGGCTGAGACACGAGGGTGAGATCGGCCTGTCCGGTTTGCGTTCAGGGGACGTCCATGCCGTTAGGATGGTCCTCAGCTCTCGGTCTTCCTTTCTTGGTGGCCTTGGCATCTGTAGACGAATAACTCCTTTCCTTTGAATGACCTGGTTTAGCCAGGTACTGTCTCCTCCTTGAGCCTCCATGGCTCAGAGCCCACTGTGTGCAGCACACAGTAGGCACTTTGCGAATACTTGTCTAAACGATGACATACATGAGGGCGCCCACTTTAGTGAAAGCCGCTGAGCGTGAAGGGGGCACCTGTCGTGTTTCGGCCCCCAGGTGCGGTACTGGACCAGTGGAGAGGAGAGCTCGCCACGCAGAGTGAAGGTGGTGGCAGGGGAGACCGCGGCCCGGCTCCACGGGCTGAAGAGCCACCTGGTCTACCACGCAGCCGTCCGGGCTTACAACAGCGCGGGTGCCGGGCCCTTCAGTGCCACGGTGAATGCCACCACCAAGAAGACGCGTAGGTATCTTGCGTGTTGGGTGGGAGGTGGCGGGAGTTTGCATCCGGAATGGCAGCTTCTGTGTGTGGGGGCAGCCAGCCCAGCTCAGCCCCTGTAAACAGAGCCACAGGCATTTTCCCGATCCCCCAAACCTCAGGGGAACGGGCACGGCCCCCGTTTGGAAAGCACAGTGTGAGGTGTTGAGTCAAGAACGTCTGCTTTTCTCTTAAACTGACCAACTTACTCGGCTTGGGATTTCTGATAAGTGTGAGAAAGTTAACATTCATGTCAAGGGATCAGAGGTGATTTCTCTTCCTCTCTCTCCTACGTTGTTTGAAAGATGGCAACGTAGAGTAAAAGGTTACCCTCAGCGGTGGGTCCCGGAGGGACGCTTTAAACCGGACCAGGCGAAAGCATTGCCCTGAGCCGAGTCTGTTAGCTGTGCTCGCGGGGACTCATTCCCAGCACCAGGCTGGAGTTAGACCATGGAGCATGTGGGTTTGCAAGTAAACTGAAAATGTCATCGTTCTGTATGTTTGGTATTCCCAACATCTATTGTGAATTGGTAAGATTTAAATATACGTCATTACATATTCAAAGCACAGTGTCCATCAAAAGTTCCGATGGCAAAAATATATGCAACAGGCTTATCCGGCTCTTTCCCTGACTTGGGAACTGATGTGAGTACTTGGCAGGAGACGGTGGTTGTGAAACCCACGAGACACCACCCTGGGACCAGCGAGGGACTCGGTGAACTGACCCGGCCGGAGGAGGGGGCTGGTTATAAATCAGTAGGAATATGGCGGCCGTGCATAGGAGAGAAGTAAATTTTTTAAAAGAAGCAGAAACCACTGTAATATTTTCAATAATAAAGTTAAGTTTATAAAAATAAAACATAGGGTGACTGAAAAAATAAAAATAAGCAAAACCCTTCATGATTGAGCGATGGTACATGAACACCCAGTGTAATGTGGAAATTGCAGGAAACAATAAGGATAGTGATTATGATTTTTTTATTTTTTAAATATATTTTTATTGATTTCAGAGAGGAAGGGAGAGGAAGGGAGGGATAGAAACATCAATGATGAGGGTATCATTGATCAGCACACCCCCTACTGAGGATCGAGCCTGAAACCCGGGCATGTGCTCTGAACCATGACCTCGCGGTTCATAGGTCGACGCTCAACCACTGAGCCACACCAGCCGGGCACAATTATGATTTTAATGGCTGGTGCTTCCACTGTTCTGTGAACATCTCAAGCATTGAATTCCCTAATTCTCAACTTAGAGAGAGGGCACCAAAGCGTACGCAGCCCCTGACTGTCCCCAGATCACAGAGGAAGGAGTGGGACAGCCACCCATACCCAGCCCTGTCCTCTGGGTGCCCTTTCCATTGACATGGATATTCGTGTCTCATTCAACACCAGGTTACTGGGACTCTACCCTGTGCCCAGGACCCGGGAGTGGGGTGATCTGAGACAGGCAGCACTGCTGTGCACACGCGCTGTGCAATGATGGAAGTTCCACCAATGGAACAAAATCTCTGGAAATTCCACAATTCATCAGGCACCTGCATGTTGGCCGTGGCTGTTACCATGGACACGTTCCCACATTGAGTGGGAAATATAGAGATAACTGAAATCCCTAGCCCAGCTGGCATGGCTCAGTGGTTGAGGGTCAACCTATGAACCAGGAGGTCACTGTTCGATTCCTGGTCGGCACATGCCCGGGTTGTGGGCTTGATCCCCACCAGTATGGGGCATACAGGAGGCAGCCGGTCAATGATTCTCATCATCGATGTTTCTATCTCTCTTCCTTCCTCTCTGAAATCAATAAAAAAATAAATATGTTTCTACTAGTAAAAATCTCTAATCATCCTAACATTTTATAAAAAGAACATGGCTAGTTTTTAAATTTTGTGTCAGTCATTTTTCAAACATACCACGATACCCATGAAACAATCTCTTAAAGCTGTTTGCGATATTATAGTTCCTTCACTGTCGTCCTAACCTTTGAAGTGGCTTTAGCTGCAAATCCTACTTGCGGTTTTGGTAAGGCTTTTGTGGTTAACGCCAGGGAGACAATTAGCGGCATGCTTTGGGCGTCAAGAACTAAACCGAGGGCTTTGATGACTCGCTGGCTGGCTGTTCACCCAGCCCTGTGCCCGGCGTGGCCCTGGGAGCCACTCATTACATCTCGATTGGTGGCCAAAATCTACAGAAGCAGGCCCTGGCCTCGCACCCCCTGCACACAGACCAGGCCCCCAAAATGCCCCCCAGGCCGGCGGCAGTCCTCGGCTCACTTCCTACCACCCGGGCCTCCTCCACTCCCGCAGGCTCTGCCCTCTGCCCAGGGAGCCCTGTGTCCTGGTGCCCATGTGGCAAGTCCCAGTGCCCTCTCGGCCTTTGCTCCAATGTCGCCGCAGCGCCACCATGGGCCCCCCTGGCTGGGAAGTGTGGCCCCCACCCGTCTGCGGACACGCCCGACACTCCTGTCGCCCTCCTGGCTCTGACCCCAGCGCAGCACCCGCCTGCGTTACCGCCGTCTCTCCCCCTGCGTGGGCTGGAGCGTGGGCCCCTCGGGCAGAGACCGCCCGCTTCCATCGCCACTGTCCCCAGCGCTCTGTCCCCAGGGTCCTCGGAACAGGTGGTGCCCTGAGTGGGACAGACAAGACGGTCCCCATCATCAGGGTCTGTTCCGAGGTGGCCTTGTTCTCCCCCAGGTCCCTCCTCGGGGCAGCAGCGATTCCATCGGCACCTCAAGGTTATTTCTACCAATCAGACACGCTGGGGAAGTGGGCATCTCCCCCGCTGCACGGCATCCTTCTCGGCTCTTCCCAGATCCTGGCTCTGGGGCTGGATGATGGAGGGTGGGGCCCGGCCCCCCTGGAACCAGGGTCCTGGGTTTGTGCCTACACTGATGACGACACGTGTGTCCACCTGAGAAACGTGTGTTGACCAGCTTTGTCCGCTTTGCACTTGAGGTTTTCTGGCTCCGCCCGCACGCTGTGCATCCCCCTGGGCAGATGCTGGCAGATGCTGGTCCGCTGCCTCCCTGACGGCCCCTTCTCTGCCCCGGGGGCAGTTCCCTCCAAGCTCGGTCCTTGTTAACCCCTCACTCTCACTTCCAGCGCCCAGCCAGCCGCCGGGAAACGTGGTCTGGAACGCCACGGACGCCAAGGTGTTCCTGAGCTGGGAGCAGGTCAGAGCCATGGAGAACGAGTCGGAAGTGACGGGGTACAAGGTGAGTGGCGGGGTTGGTGGTGGTCTCGGCTCCCACCGGGGCTTTCCAGGGAGCTGGGCTCAATTTCCTCCGTGAGGGAGGTACGGCTTCTGACTACAGCTAATGACGTCATTCACATGTTAAGCCTTTTATGAAAAAGGCTTGTTCCCAAAATGTCTGATTCCTTAAATACAATGAAAGTGAAATCATTCTGCTCACGTGGGGGTTTTGGACAAAATGTTTGTAAATTGTTTGTGTGAGTTTGCTGCTTCTGATGCTACCTATGGACGACTTTAAAAACAATGAAAACTGCCTGGCTGGTGTGGCTCAGTGGTTGAGCATTGACCGATGAACCAGGAGGTCACAGCTCGATTCCTGGTCAGGGCAGATGCGGGGTTTTCTGGCTCAATCCCCAGTAGGGGGTGTGTAGGAGGCAGCTGATCAATGTTCCTCCCTCTCATTGTGTTTCTATCCCTCTCCCTTCCTCTCTCAAAAATATCAGCAAATCATATTTGAGCCTTAGGTTTGGCTCAGTGGATAGAGCTTTGGCCCATCCATGGTTCAATTCCGATCCAGGGCACGTACGTTGGTTGCAGGTTAAATTCCCAGGCCTCGGTCAGTGCCCAGCCCTGGTCAGGGCATGTGCAGGAGGCAACCAATCGGTGTGTCTCTCACGTCGATGTCTCTCTCTCTGTGTATCTCTCCCCCTCCCTTCCACTCTCTCTAAAAAGCAATGGGAAAATACCCTCAGGTGAGGACCAACAACAACAAACATATTTAAGAAAACACAATGAGAAGCATTGTCTCTGGTCCTCCATGTGTGTCCGAGATCAGGGCAGGGGGCCTGTCCCCACCCGGACACCTTCCCGCTCAGCTCTCCGGGCGACCCTAACCCTCCCAGACGCTGTGGTTGATGGCCCTGCCACGTGCGAACCCCGGGCGACCACCGTGGAGAGAGAGAGCTGAGGATGGGACTTAAGCTGGGCGGGTAGAGATGACAGGCACAAGGCCAGAGCGGTGAGTCCCACAAGAAACGCAAACGTGGGCGACAGGAGTGTGTGTTGGCGCCTTCCAGGTGTTCTACAGGACTAGCGGCCAGGGCGGCCTGCAGGTGCTGAGCACAAACCGAACGTCGGCTGAGCTGCGGCTGCCCGTCCAGGAGGGTTACGTCGTCCACGTCCGGGCCACGACGGCCGGAGGGGACGGGGCCAGCAGCGCGCCTGTCAGGATCCCGAGGAGAACCAGTAAGCGGCCAGGCCACACGCTCTCCCCCACAACACCCTTGGGGACCCCGAGTCCTCAGGGCCCGTCTGTCCACTCCTTCCCCACACTCTGTTCATCGGGTGCTGAGACAGTTTGGGGGGTGAGGGGTGAGCAGGGGGAACTAATTTCTCACGAGTCGTGCAAAATCAGGGGAAGGGGAAGACAGGAAGACAGAAAAGATGTGGAGAAATATGTAGCAAAACCATCCATTTGGATCCCCCCCCCCCCACTTGCCCAGGGAAGCTTGCTTTAATGAAACCCTCCATTGATCTCAGTTGTGTGTGTCATCGAGTAGAATTGTTTTCAAAATTAAGCTGTTTTCTCAGATTCAGTTAACGTTAAGTGATAGTGTACGAACAAAGCCTAGAATTGTTTAAGAAAACGTAAATACAGCCCGGCCGGTGTTGCTCAGTGGTTGAGCGTGGACCCAAGAACCAGGAGGTCACAGGTTCAATTCCCAGTCAGGGCACATACCCTGGTTGCAGGCTCACTCCCCAGTAGGAGGCGTGCAGGGAGCAGCTATCAGTGATTCTCTCTCATCATTTATGTTTCTCTCTCTCTCTCTCTCCCTCTCCCTCTGCCTCTCCCTCACCGTATTGTGTTGGAGTGGGGGAGAAGGAGCCAAGTGGAGGGGTGGGGGTAAGATAGGTAGGGTGGAAGGTGGGAGTAGTGGGATGGGAGAAAAATAAAGTGGTCATAGGAAGGAAACGAGGAAAAAAGGTCAAATGTCAAGCTTGCTGTGTGTAGTAGGGGTAGTGTACTAGATGTGAAGATTGATATTGCATGTTATTTGGT